GGAAAGAGGAAGAAATAGTTCTGAGGTGACTTCCTTTAGATGTTTTCCTTCCCTCAAATTTAGAATCTTGTTAATAAACATCCCTGAAGATACATGAGGCTGCAGTGATGACACACAATGTAATTAGAAGGAAAAAATTAAGCCATTGATGTTCTTCAACATCTCTTCTTTCTAAAAGTACTTCCAAGCATACTAAAAGTCAGCTATTTCTCCCATAAAGGCATTTTATTTACACTACTGGTTAAACCCACATCCCATGACTCATTCCAGGGAGGAAGTGGGAGCACAGAGACATCCCGTGGCATTTGCCAGTGAAGAGCGTTGGCACTGTGTCTGTATTGATAGAATTAAAGAGGGAATCCACAGAATTTATTAAATCAAATGCAATGATTTCCAAGGACTTTTGCCTTTTTTTTTCCCCTTCCCTAAGCACTTACTCTCAATTTACGTCCTTCCTTAAAAATGTTTCAAACCTCAATATGAAAATAAACAACTATGAATTCATCTCACTTTATTTTTTCCTCTTTCCACTTATTTCTGGACTGTGAAAACATCTGAACCTGAGAACCCAGACAGATTCCACCTCAAGTACAGGAGCACCTTTACTTCATGAAAAATAGCCATAGTTCATTATTCATTGTAAACCAACTGCATAATATTAAGAATTGCCTCTAAGAGTATTACTTCTATTCCTTCTCACTCTTATTATTGCTGGTTTGCAGTATACATACAACATAAATCCCAAATAGAAGGGGGATCTCCTGAAGGACGCTGCTGCAGAGCTATTTATCACAGTAGAACTTCATCAGATTTGCAAAACTGGTTTTGAACGGGATTCTCTTTGGCTCCAGATGCAATTTGCACACATCTCACAGTAATTCCATCGATGGTAGCATTCCATGTCTAAAAACAGTTTGCTTTCTTTTATCTCATACTATAACAGCTCTTACAGTAGCACTGTTTATGCTTGTCCAGACCATCTTGGGAATACTTAGACCACAAATCTTTCAACAAAAGGCATTATCTTACAGACCGTCCCTAAGCACTTATCTTATGTTTCAGCATCTTAAATCCAGTACCACCTGCTGCTGAAATGCACTCTATGTACAGCTGCACATATTTCTGTCTGTACATTTCCTCAAGAAGTATCCAACAAGACATAAAATGGAAATTAAAAAAAACCCAAACATTTTGCTAATATTTCATTGGTTTTGATGTTTAAAATTTTCATGGACATCCAGGAACACTCTTCTTGAGGCAGAATATGAACACATTTTGAGCTGTTGGAACAGCCACTGCAGGTCATACCAGATGTTCATGGGATTGTCAAATGTTCCATCTCTCACAGTCATCCACTCAGCAAAGACTAAAAGAACAATGTGAGCACACAGTGTTACTCAGCCAATACTCTCTTGACCTCCCAACAGTTTGCAATACAGATCTTTCCACAACCAGGTAACTTCAGTAATGATGCATTTTGCCATTCAATAATCCTGAACGACTGCTTTGACCTACTTCAATCTGCAAACTGTAGTTCATTCCTACCTCTAGTCCAGAAATGCAGTGAACAACCATTGCCTTATCACTATGCTGCTCATGATTTTACACATGATGGTACCTCCACCACGCTAAAGAGACCTAAATTCTTTACTGCAACCTCTTACATAAGGTATTCTATACCTTTAACCATTCTCGTCAATCTTCTCTCCTTTGAAACAGGAAGAAAGGGCCACAGAGGGAAAACATCCCTACAGTTTTGTTCAAGGAGCGGGAG